CCCCCCCCCCCCCAAGTGAAAATACAATAGCTTCACAGGCTGATTCCTGTTTCCTAGCAGATCTCTTAGCTTTTATTAAACCTGATTAACAGCCCAGGGTATGCAAGGGAAGACTGGTTGAGCTTGCTGTTACGTAAAAGGTACTAAAAAGTTCTCCTCCATCTGAGGCATAATGTGTGTCTAGGATCTTCTGATTCAAGCTAAGTTTCTCCCTCAGACTATGATAAACAGCATCCAATTAGGTAAAGAATGCTCAAAAGAAAAGGCTTTAAGAGCGATGGTGTGGGAGAAGCACACAAGCCTTCCTGGTGATTCATACATCTGCCCAAGTTGGGAAAGAGGTAGGGTCTGTCTCCTCCAACATAAAACAGATGACAAGAAACTGGACCTACACCTGCTAAATGACTCAATGTTGCAGCACTATTTTTTAGACCTCTTGCCACATAGTGAATCCATAGCTCTTTAGGCACAGTGCATGGAGAGTGAGCTGCTGAAACATGGGGTTGACAGAAGCTGGCATGTTGAGGAAGAAGCCTCCTGAGGTAGTCAATAGGAAACAATGAGGAGAGTATAGTGGCTGAAGTCTCACCCTTGTCAGATTTAAGTGCCTAGCTCAAGACTACAGAGAGATGTCACCATCCACCTAGCATTAACCCTGCCTGAACACGCCCCTGAGTCAAGACTTCCATCTCTCAGAAACCATGGTAGCAGGAGGGCACGGGAACTAACCTAGTCGCTAGCACACTGACCTAGCGTGGGGAGTCTCCTGTTGGAGCCATTTCATTTTGCATGGAAAAACCAAATAAAAGGCAGGAGAGAGCGCAAGGGAGCACTGATGGCCTAATGCTAAGAGCTGTTATCTATGAGGAGAGAGGACCTGGGTTGCAGACCCTATTCCAATGAATGTAGAAGTATTGTAATCATTCTGTCAAAGTAAAAGAGCTTCAGCAGGAGAGGACTGAATGATCCACATCCTTGAATGCCTTATAGCCTCCTAATTCACTCATGCAGATTTGAATCAGTTCAGGCTGAAGAAGTACCACACTTACAGTCTCCCATGTCTCAGGCAAGTGAGCTAACCCTGGACAACTATGAGTAAGAGACCAACACTACCTCTGCTAGCCTCGTCGTATTTGGGCTCATCTAGTACACCTACCAGACTGGGTCCCTCAAGTGAGAGAGACAGGGTAGCATCTCGTGTGGACACCAACCGGGCTTTGGCAGTTCTGGGCACTTAACTCACCATGTATCTGGGTCCATGAAGGCAGTTTTCCTTAAGCGCTCTCGAAGGTAACTGTTCTTCTGGCGCGGTTTAGTACCTGCTGAGGTATTGGGGTTTAAAGCCCACTTTATGGAAATGAGAGGCTCTTCCCTGGCTTGCTCCTGCAGCCATATGGCTGAGGGCATGCAAAACTTGGGAGTATCTGAAACCCAACCCTCCAAGCTTGGGCCTGTATGTAGGATGCCTGCAAAAAGACTTTGGAAATCTCTGAAGCCCCTGGTAGGGGTGAGGATGTTTGCTGGTTGTAGAGCCACTTACGGTTCTGGACTGACTCATGGATTTGGCTTGGAATATGAAAAAGTTCTTTAAAATCTGTTCTTAAATTGGCAGGGGGAATACCATGTATCTGTGTCCATGAAGGCAGTTTTCCTAAAGTGCACCTGGGGAGAACTCCTCTTCTGGCATGGTTCAGTACCTGCTGAGGTGTAGCGGCTTTAAGCCCACTTTATGGAAATGGGGGGTCTTTGCCCTAGCTTGCTCCTGCGGCCTGACGGGTGAGGGCAAGCAAAACTCGGGGGCATCTGAACCCCAAGCCTCTGCGCTTGGGCCTGAAAGTAGGATGCCCAACAAAGGAGTTGGAAATATCTGAAGCCCCAGATGGGGGTGGAGGATGTTTGCTGGTAGTATGTAGGACCACTTACAGTTCTGGACTCTTGGACTTGGAATTAGTTTTGGCTAATTTGGTTTGGAATGCATAAAAAAAAAAAAAAAAAAAAAATTTAAGTGCCTGGATTTATCAGCCATAATATCTGATATGCCCTCCATGGGAAGGCTTAGTGTTGATGGATTTATGGACCTGGAGGGGAATCAGAGCTTGCTCCATTCCCTCCTTGCATCAGCGTGGTATTACAATGTTTCCAGGAGTGGTTCCCCCTTTGGGGAACATATGGCAGTATCAAAAATAGAACTTACAATTGTGTTACTTGAGATGCCTGGTGGTCTTAGCAGTAAGGTGGGGTAGTTGTCAGCAGAGAATCAGTTTATGTGACTGTTCCTGCACCTGAATAGAGTGTGGTTGAAAGGGGTGTGGCTTGGGGGCAGCTTGGACGTTGTCATCATGGAATCATAGAAAATTAGGGCTAGAAGCGACCTCAGGAGGTCTAGTCCAGCATTTCTCAATCCCTTGGTTGCAACCCACTTAGCAGGTCTCAAGAATATATGAAAAGGGTGCAAACAAACTTTAAAAAATGGATTCTCCTTTAAAGGAGAAAATGTGGGATGCCAACAAGGGCCTGCTTGGGGCTCCCGTGCTCCACCCCACACACCCAGCCCTACACGCTGGGGGGTCTGGGGACAGGGCAGTGGGTCAAGACAGACCATCAGTGATTACAAGTGAGTTGTGGTACAACAAAGGTTGAGAACCACTGTCCTAGAGAGTAACTACATTTTTCTAAGTGCTGATTTTAATTACATACCTTTATCTGAGCTCTTATCACTGCCACTTATGATCCAAGTTCAGTTCATTCCTTAGGTTACATCTTTTCTTCTTTCTTTTTTTTTAAAAAAACTTTTTCTCCATGTCTTTCTAACCTTGGACAAAAGTTTCTATAGCTTCCTGTTTGTCTCTGGGAACACTTAAATCCAATTAGAACTGTGCTCAGAGGAGAAACGGAGTGATCCTAACGAATAACTGAAAAAGACAAAAAAGGAAATTTTATTCCCCCTTCTGTATGTCACTGGCTATACAGTCAATCACTCAAACACACGCCTCCTACTTTAAAGGAACGATCCTATTCTGTCCAGGAAGGTGCAGAGCACTCCTGTTCTCTCAGTAGGTAGCCTTTGTGCTTCACATAGCCTAAGCACTGCCAGGGAGTTGCTTATAGGCAGGTAACAGAAGCTAAATACAGGGTGGAGGGAAGAGAAGTGGGACCAGACATTTGGCCCTGGGATGCACAAACTGCCATCATCTTGGCATCCAGGTCTTGCTGGAGGAGGGGGTGAGGATCCCTCGCCATCTTTCCCCAAGGGCTAGTGGCAAGTGCATTAAGTAAACAGGAGAGCTGGAGTCTAGACTCTTCTCAGCCTCAGTCTGAATCTGAATCTCCCACTTCCCAAAGGAAGTGCCCCAACAAAGAGGTTTAAGGTGGGAGCAGCTTGGCTCTTGCCACAGCATTTCAGCAAACTGTGTGGCATTTTTCAGATTTCAAACCACTAAATCAGTGCATGAGGACCAGGAGTTACCGTAACACAAATAACGAACCAAGAAGGGATCCGCTCATTAGAAGTGGTGCTTCTGAAACCTTAAGCATGTCCTGCCAGACAGCAGTGTACATCTGCATCTTGCTGTTAGCCCTTTAAGGGCAACGTTATCAATCCAACAGACTGCTCAAGCAGGCAGAACTGTAACCAACCTGGAAGCGATGACTGACCTTCCTGCCGCGCTCAGCTCTGGCAAATTCTCTGAGGACGACACTGGCTGCAACATGAAGGGGCTTCTTTGTACTCTGTCTGCAAGCTCCTTCAATTAAATTTTAGATGCTGCTCCCTTTTACTGCCTCTGTTGTTTATTGTTACTTCAGTTCAGGGGCTCTGGCCAGACTGCTAGACACCGCTCTAGTCTGGAACAGAGATGTGACCAGTTTATTTAGAACAAAACCTTTCTTCAACCATTACAACATGCTCCCACAGTGCTTCGACCAGGCCGATTTAGCTCCATTCTCATAGAGAAGCTAAAACTGTACCACAGCTTTCAGAAGAGAGAGAAAAAAACCCTTACACTTTTAAAGAAGACTTTTATTGGTAAGTAGAACTTAATGATACAACAAAGAAAGAAAAATACAGGACTTTGACTCCCCCACCCCAAAGTATGTAGCCATACTGTACACAACTAGATTTCATATTGTCATACAAAGAATTCAAAGAACAGACTACAAAATTAGAAATTAAAAATCATTGCATATGTGGTCAAAGATAAATGGAAGGACTCCATTAACTGAAACATAGAGCAATTAGTAATGTAATTACGACCCTGGCGATAAAACACAATTTAGCAAAATAAGATAAGTACTGTATGCTTCCTAGTGTACAGAGGACATACAAGGTTAAAATACAAGCTCAAAGCCATTAGTGCCATGCAGTCCTTGCTAAACATTGCTGTTTAGGTGTCTCTCTTATGCAGTGATGTGCTGTTGTTTCTAATTCCACCTTACCTCTACCCTTTGCATAATAGAAGTTAAATCTCTGGCGGTGTTGTTTACTGCCACTAACCCTCTTTTCTCACTTGCAACCTTACAGTGCCAACTGGCGTCTCTGGTGAGGTTGTCTTCTCTCCTTCCTTTACTACTTGAAACTGGTCTGAAGAATCCAGGCGTCTGAGGCCTAATGTAGGCCTTATCTCTACAGCGCATAACCAGTAGCTACTGTTCCATGCTCTCCCACTGCACACATAAGGCATTCAATGTCTATGTTACTGGCTGTCAAACACAGTTCTTCTGATACAGTCCTAAATGGTTCCACCCACAGTAAATTATTTTCAGGTACAGACACTGAAGGCAAGCCAATATTTCTCTCTCATGGAAGGACCTGTTAAAAGTTTTCTGCTGTTACCACCAGAAATGGGTCATATCTGACCCCTAAAATTGCAAGGATTCCCCCTCTTTTATGGTTGGGGCAAATGAAGATGTTTGCAGTCACACACAAGTGCAGCAGAAGAAAATATTTTGCTTTTTCAAGGAAATTCCTTGATGCTGGATCTGCGCATGTGCTCAGTGACAGAGGCACAAGGAGTACAAAGAGGATGGGAAATTCAAAAGTGACTATTCATCTTCCCAACTACGCTATGTGCTAAATGGTTATGGTAACCCCTGGAATGCTAGAAGGAATTTCTGTTCCTGACTTAACCACTGCTGGCAACACAGGGGCCAAGAAATACCAACTCCTGTAAGTGAAACAAAAGGATTAATATAAAAACATGTAAGCACTTACGTTTTTGATGGTTGGTGGGGGGAAGAAGGGATGAAGACACAAGCCTGTAAACAGAGCTTATATGCAGTACATTTGCATTTGAACCTGGGGAAGTTTATCAACTTAGGGGAACCTGTATTAAGAACCAAATCCAAAAGGCAATTGCCCATGCTCTAGCTTATCACTTGAAAGTATCCCATATGCTTTCAGGTACTATTTTCCTGTTGAAAATAGGATGAGACCTCAAAAGACCAAACTATTAGGAGTTTGATTCTTGCCAATCCATCACTTTTGTCAGAACGGCAAGTCTATAAGGCAGGTTTCACTATATTGTAGTTTTTAGAAAAGCGAGGGTTCTTTGAACACACAGACTCAGCAGAAAACACCACCATCAGTTCAATCTGCTTAGACACCACAAGGTTAAGTGCAAGTCCCAGCTATACCACAAAAGAGAATGCAAGTGAAAGAGTGTTGGATCTACTGTTACAATAGTGAACAGGAGCAATACGGAGAGAGTCTCAAAGCTGTACTAGCACATGATCTGTAATCACTGAGTCAGAAGCTTACATCTCGGTTCAAGAATGTGCCCTCTCTAAAATGCACGTGCAAAAGCATCCTCTCTGCAATGCATTAGTTAAAAACAAGCCCCCACTTGTGACAGGTTAAGCACAATACTGGAACAGAGCACGGTCAAGAGTGAGCAGATGCTGCATCGGGAATGTGGCCTTGTGAAAAATATGCTCTTCTGTTAAGCAACATGGGCTTGAAATTAAAAACGGTGGTTTAGTGTCTTCCGCATGGAAGCCATTTTGTTCGTTTACAAATTAGGGCTTGGATCTGTAGTTAGCTGCTGAGAACACAGGATTAGCACCTTTTTGCACGTTAGTTTCCTGTTATAGCCTTAAACAATCAAGCTATCACTTGAAGGGTTGGTTGGTTTATTTGTTGCATTCCTTTACATAATAAGACAAAACACTCAGTACAATCTGGTACATTCTAGTGGTTAATGAGTTTAGATGTTAAACTATGACAGTGTTTCTGCAGTGCATTTGGCCTTTAGGAGTCACTCTTCTTTTTGTTCTTCTTCAGGAAGGAAGGAGTGCGGAACTTCTTTTTCTTTTTGGATGGGGACTTTCCTGGGGATTCATCACTCCCTGGATCGGCAGTTGCCCCTTCCTCAGCTGTGGGTGTTACTGCCTCTTCAGCAGGCTGAGACTGGGGTTCTTGATTTTCCACTGCAGGTGACTCAGTCTGGCCTTTGGTCAGATCTTCATCACATCTACCTTCCTCTTCCTCCTTTCCGAAGGTTGGGAAGCTGAGTGCTTCTGAAGGCTCATCAGGGGTGAGGTCTGGGAGGGTTTGCTTGAAAGTTGCAGCATCACTGTCATCTTTGTAAGTCTGTTCCTGCAGTGTCTCTAATGGATCGACATGAAATATTTAGTTAGAGTGCACTGGCCTCCTTGAAAATGCATTAAGCTATATGATAGCCAGTGCTTCACATGAGAGCCTAGTTCAAACTAATGTACATCCTGCCAAACTTGCATATTCACTTTTGCTTTGGGCACTGGGATACATGTGGAATATCAAATGCTTATTTTTACCTTCCACAGTTGATTTTATCCATGGTGGTCTAACTCACCAAGAGTAAATGGGAAGGGTTTATTCATAACATTGCAATGTTATTTTGTTTGCAAATGAAGGGAGAGTTTTTAGCACAGAGAACAAGAGATTAAACCCACAACTCTGGCATTCAGGAGTTGGTGTCACTCGGTTCCTAATTCTAAAGTACTTTTAGATTTGGTGGGATGGAACAAGGTTACAGCTCACTACAAGCCTATGGCCAAAGGTCAGCTAAAATCATTAATTCCTAATTTGCCAACCCACTTATAAATAAGTCCAGTAACTCACATGATGGTTCTCAGAGAGGATTTGATGACAGAGATAATTTCCAACTGAGGTCTTTTATTGCAAAGCCTTTATTAATTTTTACAATATTTACTCGTGTTATGGGGTTTAGCATGTTGTTAAATTAAATTAGCCAAGCCCAGTTTGCAAGGTAAACTTGCACTGGATGTGGCTGCTTATCCAGTCTTCCACTGGGGTTGGCCATGGGGTAAGTAGGTCTAAAGTGGTGCAAAGTCCTTGTAACAGTCTTTTGCACACTCTGCATTTCAGCCTGACCTGACCTGGATCTCTGTAGTCATCGGTGATGTTTAGCAACATTCGGCTTTAAACCCCTCTTCATAAAAAAAATTTTTTAATTACATCCTGTTACTGCAAAGCAAATGGGCTGGCACTGAGCACGTAAGACCCAGTGTGCTTGGGAACCACCAATTAATAAGCTTTCTGTTAGCCGTGTCAAATTCATAAGCGCTGCTGCATAACACCCACCACCCAAGAGGATGAAAACCAGAGCGTGGTGGTTTGTGAACTACAAGAAAGAGAGGGGCAACATTTCTCCTTTAGTGCTTCAAGGCTTGGTACAAGTGAAAGAATACATTTGGTAAGAGCATTAGATTTAATTTAAAACACTGAAGGTCATCACCACCACCTACAGACTCAGTATTTGACAGCATCTTTAAAGAACAGAACTGAACAGTCCATATCCTGTGTCGCTGTGAATACCTAGTGTATTGTGAGGTCTCAGTGTCAGACTAGGGGAAACCATGTCAAACTCAGCATCAAGCCAACCGTTCCCAACACAGACATTAGAGGTTGAAATTATGTTAAGGAGAGGATTTAAAAGGTAAAAGAGAAAGCTTTTATGTATGTTAAGAGTTGCCTCACAGGGCTCTAGTCTGATTAGCCCCTTATGACCATTTCACAGCAGTTTATTTCTGGTACAAAAACCCCACTAGTCTTTTCATTATTACCAACTGTCTGGTTTTTTCCATCAGGAATTTGAGTGAAAGGCATTAAATCAGACTAATTCCCTTGTGCACGTACCATGAGTGATTTTCAAGGTAATTAGAAACTTAAAAAAACCAAAAAGAAAAAGACCACCAAGATTTCTGGATTATTCACAAAAAAAAGCATTAAAAGCTACTGACATTTAAAACAGCATCTGCCCTTTCCTGTACACTACACTTACATAGAAATGATTAACAACTCATTTCTCCAAAAGAACTATTTTGTGCAGCCTCAGCTGGATCGTTCACTAGAATGAAGCAAGGATCTCCGACCCCCGGGCAGTTTTTGTGAGAATACGGGAACTCTACAAATTCCACATCAGTCCAATGGGACAACAGTCACCACATAAGGGGCTAATGCCCTCAGGGACTTTAGGACTTCTTTCAGCGAGGGGTTCAAAAGAAGTCCAAAACCAATTTCAGACATGACAACACTTAGGAATGTCAAAATCTCCCTGGAGATACGGTATTTTCCAGGCACACAGACAGCGAGGCAGTGAACTCTGCAGCCTATCAGTAACACTTGCATTTACAACTCTGGCCCTAATGGAGTTATGGAGATAAAAGGATTTTTTTCAAACGCACACGGGTTGCCAACTCTGACTGAAGCTATTCCAGGAGATTTTTTTCCCAATGTGATGTAATGTCATTAATTTCATTTTCTTAAAATATCCTATTAAGATCTCCCAGATTGATTTCAATAGTCACCGGGAGATCAATGCCTATTCTGGTAGAGTCCCGGCCAATCTGGGAGGGTTGGCAACTGCACGCGCGCGCGCACACACACACACACACACACACACACACACACACTATTGAATTACCATCAAGTAACAGTTTTGAAAAGTATATTTGAAGTATAGTTGCAGTGAGAAAAGTGTGCTTGGGAACAGCACCCTCACTCAGAGAGCCTGTCACTTGCAGATGTCGTGGTATTCAGTCATAACTTCTTTGGTTTGGAAAATACCATATTTTCTCACATACTGCCTGCCCTCAAATGAAACGTACACCTTGTTTTTCAAGGCAGAACGTATAAAAAAATCCAGAGTCAGGACTGAGTGCGAGATGTAGCGTAAATCCTCCTGGAACAGTGTCCAGGAAGTGTGGCACCAGGAAGTTCCTCCTGTCAATTGTGCCAGCTGCCTGGACTGTCTTTTGGGACACCACATTAATTCTTGGACATGTTGTGTTTCCAAGGGGACTTGTGCTAGGTCACATAAGGTTGGCCCCAAACCCTTCCAAAGGCAGTAACAAGACTGCTCCCTCTTTATTGCAAGTAGTTCTTTATTTAAAGTTCCTGTAAATCAAGTGTTGTTTGCACATAACAAGCTTCATCAAGATACACTATCAGGAGCTCGCTTCCTGCTTCAGGCACAAGCTACAGCGCTCAGCCAAAAGCTATGGCTATGAGAGGGTTAATACAGGACTCCACTACCTGGGAAGCTGCTGTCTCCAGGCCTGCCTCTTTTTCAGTGAAGAAAACAACTTCCTCACTTGAAACACAAACCAATTTTGGGGGCTGATTTTGGGGCAAAGGGTACATGTTGTATGTAAGAAAATATGGTACAAGCACATGAATAAAATTTGTATTTTATTAGCCCTGCAAAGCCAACACAGGCAAAGTTCTTGTTTTACAAGCTTATTAATGATGTAAGAGGCACCCAGGAACAGTTCAGCTTGCATATTCTTTGACTTGCAAGAAGCAACTGCCTTTTGAACAAGAACAGAGGCGTATAAGGTGAAGGGGCTGCTGAGTCTTACATATAGTCCCAAGGGAAGGTCACTGAGATATGTGGACTTTCCCCTTTCAAGATTCCAAACTTACATGTAAGATGCATTTAATTAACAAATATTCTGGGAAAGCAGCAACTAAAGGACTTAATGTCTGTCACTGTCTGAAAATGCCTGACTTTTTTTTTTTTGTTAAAACACAAACAAAAAATAAACGAAACTCAGTAAACAACAAAGATGCAAGAGAATGAAGCAAAGCACAGAAAACTCTGGAAAAGAAGCAGAAACAAGTCAGAGTATGGGATGATACTTACTATGGTAACAGGTACTCTTTAGCATATCCACCTCCTGTTTGCAACGCAGCCACAAGAAGAAAAAAGCACAAGTAGAGAATCTGTGCATTCATCACAGCCATTGTGTTAAATTAGAAGAATGGTTGCAACCATTCTTATAGAAAACAGGATGCGATGAAGTAGTGAATGGAGACTTTGTAACAGACAAGTGAAAATATCCAAAGTACAAGGTAAAGGTAACACAAGACAAATTAGATTACACCCAGTATTGGTATTTATATCCTAGATTTTGCAACAACAGCAAAAAAAACAACCCTAGACTTTCCCAGCCCTGTTCCCACTTGACAGATATTTTTACTACCCTGGGTTACCCAATCAAACTAAGATTCAAATATTCCTGGAGGTGTAATCCAAACACAATATTCAAGAAATGTGCAATCAGTGAGGATTTTCCAAACTAATTACCCATGTTCAGTTTAATGAAGCTCTGATTCGCAAGGTGATAGAACATTGTGCTTCTCCGCAGCAATTCTTGCTCAGAATGTGCCAAGGGAAGAAACAGTTCAGAAATTTCAACATGGCAACATGGAAGGATGCTAAGTGGTCTGAAGGACAGTGCACACTTCTTTGTTATTGTGAACAGAACTCCTAGGACAGTAAGTTACAAAGCTCCACAAGACTGTTAAAAAAAATTAAAACATCCTTTTTACTAGTCTACATATTCTAGTTTACATACGTTCATGCTTCAGTCCATACTTGTGTAGCTACCGGATTCTGCCCCCCACCCTCAGCAAGACGTAACATACCTTCCTCCAGCTTAATCGGTGTGCTGGGAGGAGTGCGAGCTGAAGGAGGGTCTGGGACACTCTTTTCTTTCTCTTGTCTGGCATCTTCTGAAGGCTCTACTCATGCATCAGCGTGGAAGCGAAAACCAAACAGCACACGCAACTGTTAGGAATGCATACACCGCACATGTCCCCTGCACCCATAACAATTGTCTGGGAATAACTTTTTTTCTGAATGAAAATTGTCAGAATGCTTAATAATTGCAAAGCAGGCAAAAGATTCATGTGATCAACACACCAGCATTGTCCAACTCTTCGCCAATGAAACAGGCTGAAAAGATACAGAAGTCAGACTGCTCTGGGTGCTTGCTTTGATAACACCGTTCTTGACAGGGATGGATTGTGGGGAATGACCCAGAGGAAGAAATGCCCACCTGGCCAAAGGACGCCAAAGCTGAATAAACAAAGTTCTTTTGCTTGCTTTGAATTTATTTGCAGAACCTTGAAATAAATTACAAAGACATTCTGCAAAGAAAAGGATGGAAAGGTGCAGAGAGAGATCATCATAAAGTGACATGCAATGAACTGCAATTATTCCAAATAGATTTGGCAGTGGTTTTATTTTTTTAAATAATAAAAAAGATTCCCCACCCTCCTGCATCTTGAAGCAGGACTTATTTATCAGTGAGCAAATATTACTGAAAAGAAATCTTATTTCACAGAAACAAGAGATTTCCTCAGTACCAAAGCACCATCCACACAGTTCACCCCAGGCAAGAGAAACTCCAATTAAGAAATGAAATGAGCCCCTTGGCTCACAAACCAAGGATGTCCAGAGATAGAGATTCCAGAGGTGAAGATTAAGTGAGAGGCTGGATTCCCCCTTGATTGGCAGCACAGCTGTACCACACTCATTAATACCTGAGGCCTCAGCCAAAAGGTCAGGATTGGAGCTTAATGCTTTGATGACTGCTGAGTGAAATTCCTTGTGAGGGGACTCCTGCTCATCTGGCTCCTCCTGGTTAAGATGTGTGCTGACCTGCTGCATGGTTTGACAAGAAACCTGTGCAGCAGAGAGCTCAGAATTTTCTAACTGCTTAGAAAGTGCTGATCCATCAGGATTCTGCAAAATCTTCAGGGCGGGTAGTTTCACTGCTCCTGGAAAGGCTTTGGATCTGCCTTGCACCTCCAGAGACCTTTTATCTGAACCAGTTTGTTCCCTGATGCTCTGACTCTTAAGTAAATCATTTGGCTTCCCAGGTGGTGTCTGTCTCAACAACAGAGTCTCTCCATATTTTGAAACCTTATCTACGCAGAATGCAGCATTGCACAGAAAAAAAAAGGTGTATGCAATTACACAGGCATCGATAGTAACAGAAAAGCTCATGCCCCAAACCTGCTCTAATACCGGAACATGCAAAACAAAAGGTAGGCAGAATTCACAACCCTTTGAACATAAATATCAAGCTATCAGAATGAGAGCAAGTGCAGCACCGACTACTATTATTAATAATATGGAATAAGTCCCCTTACAGCAATTTGAGGAAATGTAATCAATTATTACAACGTAAATTATTTAAAATTGGCATTACATTAATGCCTGGAAACCTCTACCAAGACTGAGGTTCCACTGTGTGAACACACACTAAAAAGAGAGTTTGTGCCCAAAATTGTTGGTAATCTAAAAAGACCAGGCAGTACAAGTCTGAGAGGGATCCCAAGACAAAACAGGTCCCTGTCAGGACCAGTGTCAAGACCAGGTCATCTTAGTTCCAGTCCAATGTCCTGTCCAGAGGGCCTACTTGCCTTTGGTAAAGACTGGCAAAATGAGTCCTCCAGCATGCCAATGTAGGCCATAACTTCTGCTACATAAAATTTCATACACAAATAAAGCAAGATAAATCCTCCAAATGCTGCAGCGTCTTCTCTCATAGTGCAGTATGATGCTCTTCCATTTTCTGATCATTCAGAGATTTCTTTGGCTCTAGACAAAGTCCTGAGACGAACCATGATCATCTCTCTGCTGGCCTTGTGATAAACATTTCATGTACCAACATGCACTTTTTGTTCTGTGCTTTCCCAACTTAACATACTTAGCAGGTCTCCCACTTTCACCAAGTCAAAATGTTTAATCTTGTAGCCTAGTAGCAATGGCATGTTTTACTCATCAGGCTAACTTCCAATATTAAAATGGGAACAATCTGCCGTTCCAAGTGCAATGAAAAGTTTGACTGAATGAAGTCTCAAGTTTCCACATGAAACTTCCAAGAGGCAATAGTAAGTGGCCAAATTCTGTAGACCAGGTGGTCAAGATTCACTTTTGCCTCTAATAAGTTTTGTTTTTTTAATCTAAAATCCTTGGATTTTGATTAAAAACTTCATAGCACTTAAATGGTGCTTCTCATCTCCAGAGCTGCTTTCTAGGTCTCTAATTTACATTTGGACACACTAAAGCTGAAAAAGGCTAAGCAACATGATGTCTGTGGTTACAGAGGGAGTCGCTGTAAAAGTCAAGATTAAGAATGTAGAACACTCTGGTTCCCATTTCTGTGAGTAAGACAGACAGACCGACCGACCACACTCCCAGTAAAAAAATGACAGCAATACTTATTACTAGAGGTTAAGAGCAAACCAACCTTCAGACCCTTTCTGCTTCCTCTCAACTTCTTTGCGATACTCTTCCAGTTCTCGATCAGTGAGTTTATTGAAGGGATTTGGTCCTGTTGTGCTCACTATAACTTTTGGCTGATATTCCTTCTCAATGATTGCTTTTGATGCAGTCACCAGCTCTCCCTGGCAAAAAAAACAATGGGGATATGTGTGCCACTAAACACAATTCAGAGAACCGTGACAAAGGTTGAGGCTACAAGTGGCCAAAATAAAACAAAAAGATAGGTCTGATAAAAAAAAGAGAAAATGTTGGTGTTTATGTTCTTTGGGATTTAATAAGCACTATTAACAATTAGGATCTTTAAAGGCTGTTTAATTTTAAATAAAAAATAGGTCTCAAATAAAAGTCTACATAGACATCAGTGTTTTCAACCAGGGAATATCCACTATTGAACAGTACATCAAATAGCAGTGGCCAAACAGGCCTTGTTGGATTATATATATTTATTGATGTGAATATATCAAGTTTCTTTAGAATAACAGGAGAAAGAAGATAATGGTCCCAGTTCTGGAAACTTGGAGCATGGAGCTCCAGCAGAAATTAATGGGATTCTCATAGAGAATGCTTATGGGATCAAGCCTAGTATTTATAAATATTCAATGTTTAGAGAAAAAGCAATAATCTAGTAAAGAAGAGATGTTATAGGAAAATGTTAATTAGCTATTGTAAGTACCCCGAATTAAAAGCACTTTGCAAGTGTCTGTAATAATACCGAATGTTTTAAAATATGAATATGTCCTCACTGGTGTTAATATGTTTATTTAATATCTTTCATATACATGGGATAAAGAAAGACTGTTAGACTGCTAATATTATATGTTCAAAGGCCAAGAACAGGGAGCGTGCAGCTACCCAGGAAAGTCAGTCTCTCCCCACAAACATCATAGGATCGTGACAAAGCAGGCAACAAAAACATACGCCTCTCTGAATGAGTTAGTCTCTAATGTGCCACCCTGCCCTGTTTTCTGGCATGATAGATAATATGCTAGAGAACTAGCATCTGATGCATAACTTGACACTTTCATCGAAGAAATATCTAAGATTTATTCTTTGGTCAGTGAGGCAATTTTAGTTAAATCCTAAAGCCTTGTCCTTATGAAAGCACAAATGCAATCCAGATCGTTTCAAAGCTGTACAATACTGGTGTGTGCTAGGTGTAGGAAAGGATCACTGGAATATATTGAGCATCAAGTATGATGTATTTAAATAATGGGATATATCTCTAAATTGTTTCCATGTCAAACTGTTACCTGTATTAATACTTAAAATCCGAAGTGTAAGTGCTGTGTACAGTTAAAATAGTAAACAGTACTGAAGAGAAAAATTACAAGGTACAGCAGGCACAAGAGCTTTTTACTGTACAAAAAGCCAAGGGATTATTTTTCTGAATGATAAAAGCTGCTGAGAAGACATCATCAGCTCCAGCTGGAGTCAGATTAGATGCTCTTGGTGCACAATGAGCCAAAGAATGAATGAACAGGGAGATGTGCGTGAAAGCCTGAGAGAAGAGCTCCAGGCACCTGCATCTCTCTGGATGCAATCCAGGGACACAAAGAGACCAATTGCCAAAGGATACACTCAAGTCAAGCAGCCAACATCAGCAGAGTATGGTGATGACCAGATGACATGGAGAAACACTGTTGCCAGGCTATGCCGTAAATTAAATCCAAAGCGAAAGCGCTTTATATAACGTCTATCACCATCTGCTCAAATTAGGGGAAGTGTGCAATGGAAATACCACTATACTGCACAGAGGTAGGAAAGAGGAAGGGAGAGGACATCTGTCCCTCAACATGAGATGTTTTTCTTTATTAACTCAGTATTTAAATGTCCAACTGAGCAAGAGCCTATTTCCTTGTGTTAGCATAGACTGCCAGCAACTACAATTCATTTTATTTTCATGTTAATGGAAGAACAATTTAGGAACCTTATAAAAACAAAATCTAATGTTTAGGGCCAAAGCAGGTATCAAGTATCCTTTTTTCCTCTTGCCAATTAGCTACCAAAATGCTCCAGAGAATCTGTTCTTGCTAACTTGGGTTAGCAGTAATGAAACTGCTTTCTGGACCGGTGTACCTCTTACTTTGGACACCCTGACATCTAACCCCCCACCTCTGTCTGGTTTAAATGAAACATTTGCTATGAAAATAGCAAAATCATTTCTAAACTGCCTGAGCAGATTTTAACAAGAAAGTTCATTCACAGAAGTATTGGAAGTCCTCTCTCCTCCTGCTCAAAGATGAGAAATCAGAAAAATTCATGAAAAAGGAAAGATTAGCATTATGCATTTGTCGTCATCTGCATCTTCAGAATAAGGAAAAGGCATCAATATAAACTACAAAATCAGATTATATTAATGTTATAATTACTGATGAGGAACCATATTCATTATAATACAGTTTGTGCAATAAGTATTGAACTTCATCAGATCTTTAAACTGTACTTCATCCTTTAAGAGTTCATTGGATCATGAAAGGCAGACTGTTTAGCTTTCTGTTTAGCAACACTTCTCATATCATTGAATATTTCTTTTTAATATAAAACTAGGGACTATTTGCATGGACATTTCATTTGGTCCCTATCTGAATTTATGAGCGTCTGATTACAACTTCCAAACTGATTTTCTAGAAACTGACCACAGTAGGAAATTACAACCAGTAGCAAAGAAAAGACGACGAATTATTTAAAGAAACTAAGTAGTTATTTTCAATAAAATAAGAATAACCCTTGTGTCAGCTGTGGAAGTAACACCTACCATTCCATGTCTTTGCAGATTTCCATGAGCTACCCTTTTTAAGTACCAGAGAACCACGTGTTTTAGTTCGACATTATGCTTACACCAGTGTACCCACATTAAACTACAAAAGACCCACCAATTAGTAGTGTTTTGCCAGTGTCATAATTTATCTGTAAACAAGTTTAAAGCTGTGAGCTGTCGAGTGATAGTTTTTCTTGATAAAATGGAAGAAAACAAATAATGCTCACAACTACTTTGGGTTCAAACAGTAACAAAATTAAAAAAAAAAAAAAAAAAAAAAAAC